TTATAACATTCTATTCCTCACTTAAATTGATTTATTACACAAAATTCTTTAAATCCAGAAAGTTTAACAAAACATTCAAGCACCAGTTTTGTAAGACAGTAGAATTATCTTATCCAAGCGATGACCAATACTTACTCATGAACGTAAAAATTATGTGCTAACCTTTAAGAAATCTGATATCTTAGATTATTTTAAGAAAAAATTTTAACGCATAATTACTGCCTTAAGTAGTAACAAAAATTAGACATAATGGACTCAGAGGGTAGGTTAAGTAGTTCGTATGCTTGAAAGAAAAACCTGCGTAGAAAACCTTTTGTGGTCAATAACAAGCGCAACGAACTGACTCGTGTCTGAGCTGGAAATATGACATTGATCGGTATGTTCGGATTTTAGGAGAGCCAAATTGAACACAGATCTGCAATATTTTAACTGAGAAACCTGTCAGTTTTGTGATTAACTCAAATTTGCTATTTCAAATCTTTTATAGTTTTGAAATAGACTCAAGCTTTCTCAGTCCTTTTATATTCGATGTTTCTAAGTACTGATTCAGTCTGATAATTCGCAAATGGACTTGGATTCTACAAATATGAGCTATTTATTATCTAAAGAAATATGTTATATATCGAATATAAATTTTGATTAGTTTAAAGACTGTAGTATTCACACTATAAAATATCAATATCTCACTAACTACGTTTTACCTTAATCCTCCTGTTAGTTAACTATTCTAATGCTTTGCGATTGACTTTCCAATACATAAAAGATATGATAAATATTCTTTATATATATGTAAAAGATATATAATAAATATATCCTTATATATATATAACAATATAATAAATATCCTTTATAGAAAGAATAAATAAACTGATAAAACTGATATTTTTGAACAAATTTTTAAATAACAATTTTAAACAATTCCTTTATCTGTTTTCTTTCAATTACTTCACATATTTGTATTTTATTTTATTTAGTAAACAAGTATAAAAGACGTACAAATTGTTTTCCACATTTTCTTGAAATTATTTAATTTTCTTCTGTACATAAATTCTCATCAGAGAGGTTGGTAAATATTTTTCAGGTATTCGAAGGATGTGTATCCTAGCACACCAGCTCCTTAACACTCTTGAGAAATTTTCTTTGTTTTTTTGTTTGTTAACTTAATGTTCCACACATTTTTTTCTGCTTCCACTGTTAGTTTGTTCAGATACTGTTTTTTTTTTTAAATAAATGTAAAATATTCTTAATGCATCGCATTTTGGTGTTTGTCATCAATCATTTTTGTCAAAATGTTGACTTTTAATAATACTAAAAAGTGCAAATACATTTAGTTTTACCGTTAAAGGTATGATTTCCAATATTCTGAATTATTTAATACTTTATAATTAAGATAGGAAATTTTATAATTAATGAATAATAATATGTTAATATAATACTTTCTTTTACTCAATAGTAAATAACTAGAACTACTCCTTCTTCACGATGACCCTTGTCATCATCTTATATTATGACCTTTCATATTATTTATTAAATTACCAATTTTAAGGATCTATCTCATAGTTTTGATGTATAATGAAATAATTTCCGGGTTTTAATAGCTTGCAGTCATACTTTTCTTTACCACATTTCGATAAATCTACCAACATTAGCATTTGGTATCAGAAAAGGTCTTTTACGTTGAATTAATGGGTTACTTTTAGTAGTAAAAAATTCTTTAATCGCAAAGTTTCAGACATTTTTTGTCTGAAAGGCGGGATAAGTTAACGTTTCCGATGGCTACTATTTACATAAAAGCTTATTTTTTTACAAAAGACTCGAAGAACCAGTCTTTGTATATCATCCATATATGTGTATTCAGATCTTTTACTTAAATTAATCATTATTCAGATAAATAATGATTTATCTTAATCATTTTATAATAATTTAAATCACAAATGTATACCCAAAGTATAACAAGTGATTATTTGACTTTAAGTAGGCTTTGGGTACAAGCCCTTCTCTACAATCTAACCACGGTTGCCACTTGAAAATTTTTTTCTGTACCAAAATTGGTTTAAAAAGGCACCATTTCTGTAAAAAAAGGTCCAAAATTTTTCTATTGTCTTTTTATAAGAAAATACAATTTATATAAAATGTACAAAAAGTATAAAACAATACAATATCCACAATAAAGTTGGGTCGCCGAAAATGTACCATTTTTTGAACATGAGTACCAGAGTACCAAACGGAAAAAAAAGTACCAATTTTGGTACTAAAGTACCATAAGTGACAACCGTGAATCTAACCATAATAAATATGTATATAGAGTTTCACAAAGTAGTCTTAGCTTTTAAGCTAAATGTCTATAATTTCATAAAATTTTGTATCCAGGCATTCATTTGGGAACTTGACCCATATGCATAAAAGTAGTTGACCAAAATATAAAGGCTAAAGGCGAAATACAGACAAGGCTGGTGTAGAATTCCTACTGCCTGATTTATATATTAAAAGTATATCATATCTACACCATGTACTAAGTCTGTATGAACTTATATATTAATATTCTTTCAAATAAAATTTAGTTTTAAAGCTCAATTAAGCTACATAGTAGCACTATTTTACTGCAATCAAAAGCGTGTATAGAAAGCATTAAATTTTATACCATATGTATGTGCTATAAAACATTATCAATTATTTGCTTTCTTATTAAAAAGCAGCCGTATTAAGCACCTAAGTAGAAGTAATGAATGTCAAAAATTAAGCATCCTCATCTCGTAAAACAAGCAAAAATAGCTCGTATTATTCACTGACGTAATAAAAAAATAGGATCATATATAAATCATATATCAGTAAATAGCGATGGGATCACACTCTATGGACAGTGACTTTTAAAATGTAGACACCACTAAAAAAAACACCTATTTCTTAGCGTGCGAGTGCAAATGAATGAAATTGCTTCGGCTAAAAAGGTGTTTGATTCGTTACTCGCTGTTAAAAAACGCGATAGAAGCCAACCGAATCTTTAGTTGAAGTACCAGATGACCAATGATATAAAGAACTCTCTTTACTACCAACTGGTGACAGCAAGTCACTGATCGGGCTGGCTCTGGCAGACCTCTGGACACGGCCAATACCATCTGTTATAGTCAACTAAGTAAGTAATTAAGAACAAATTAACTGCAAAAACTAATGCAGTGATGACAAAATGAGACCTCACACGCCAAATCGACGTCAGCTATAGATCGAATTCTTATCCTTCATGACTATACAGTGGGCTCAAATGTATATAACTGTTGACGCGATATGCTAGTCAAAAATTTATAATCTTAGAATATTTCAACATTTTCTGTTTATATAGTATTTATCCTTCTTTGAAGACAAACTCATTATACGATGTTCTTGCATTTATATATTAACACTTTAAATGTAATATCGTACATAAAAAAAAAAAAACAAATAATTTATTTTTAATGCATCACTAAATTCTTTATTTAATTAATAGTAAACGTATTTAGTTTTTATTTATGATTATAATTTTTATAATTAATATAATTAATGATAATTTAATTTATTTGCAAAAGATATTTACACTAAAACTAAGTTTTTACATCAACCTAAAACTATGCAATAACTTATTTTAGCCAACTTTTATATGAAAACTTAATTACGATGAATAATAAAATAGAAATGAATAGGAGGAGGAAACATAGAATTTATAGAGTTGTGCAGCGGAAATAATGAAAATACAAGCTAAATTATACAATTACAGACATACGAACACACACATGCATACAAATATTTTCAAATTACTAAAACTTAATTAATTAATTAATTAATTTAATTTAATTCTTATATTATATTAATTAATTGCTCATCTTTTTTGCTACTCGTAAACAATTTGAAAAATTCTTAAACTAAATAATATTTTCATTAAATAATTAAAATTAATTTGAATAATTACATTTAAAATTTAATTTATTTTTAGTGAAATGTACTAAGCTATAATATTAAATAATTACATGTAATATTTAATATAATTTAATTTAATTTAATGTCTACGTGATGAAGTCGTACCAGCTTGTCTTTTTGCTAATTGGGAATATTTTAATATATATAAATAATTGTTTTTTTGTTTCACTTGTTATTCCTTCAAGCGGTTTTTATTTTTAGTCAAAAGTGGTAAATAAATAAAAACAATTTAACAATATTGTTTTTTCTAATTGATAAGATGACATTAATTTTACTCATACTTCTTTAACAATAATGCAATTATTTTTACTTTATTTTTATATAATTTAATAAAATTTAATGATAGCTCAACTTGTAATTTGAAATCATGTGTTAAGTTTTAATAAGAACATAAAAACAAATATAAAAAAGTCATGAGTTTTACACTATTTATGATTAATAGTGGTAAACACAAGGTCTGTCGATTTCAATGTGTAAAAATAAAAATAAAATTATAAAATTATGTACTGTAAGAAATCTGAAACAAACTCTTATACAAAACAAGCAAATAAATTGCTGTATACATATTTTAATTTTAAGTTTAATTACAAAACTAACAGGAATAATGGTTTTTTTAAGTGCTTGGGTAAACACGCTCAAACATAATGGCATGGCGTGTGACATTTGTTGTGTTTCCGTTTCCGTCTTACTTTAGAAATATTAAGCTTTGGTATTTTCTCATTTTATGTTTTACATTAATTTTTTCTTATAAAAATTATGAACATGCGAACTATAGACATAAAAAATAGTTTATTATGTTAATTTATTTAAGCAAAGTTTTTAATTAAGTGAAGTGATTTGATTCTTTAGTTTGAAATAATTTAGTTTTAATTATTTTTTTAATAATTTTAAAATTTTTCCTTTTTTATATGTTACTTGCTTCTTCCTGACTTATTCGTTTTTATTGCAAAATTTTCAGTTTTATTTAATTAAATTTATCGAATTAATTTTATTAAATTAATTTTAATTAATTAATCTTATTTTTAATTATTTTTCAAACATTTAGTAGACGGTAAAAATTATTGTTCGCAATAAAATAAAATCATGTTTATTTGTGGGACAGCCTAAAAGCATGCTTTAAAATTTGTTTCCAAATCAAAGTGGAATAATATTATGAAGTTTTCTCCACACTCTCTTTTAAAAAAATCCTACTTAACAAATTTGCAATCAGCAGAATTTTAACTTATTTTGTTAGTTCCAATATAGAACTGTTGAAGGACTGCTCTAATCCTTATTAAACAGCAGCAGTGCTAGCTGCAACAGCAAAAGGAGCAGTAGCACTTTAAGTTGTGATTAATGCGTCCTGTATTGTTGCCGACACATTGTTGCCCCCATTTGCCGCAATTGCAGTAGTTGCACTTAATTTAGCCTTTGGTGGTGTTGTTTCCATGGGTATTACAGCGTCGGCAAGTGTTTCTGTGTCTGCGTCCGCTTCTGTTAATTCATTCGCCATGTCTTCATCCATTATATCGTCGTCCTTGGCATGTAAACTTTCGCTGTTGTCCTTATTACTGTGCAAGCTGCTGTTAAGTGCTTGCTTGAGCGGATCGCGTTTCTTGCCATGTTTGTTGCTACTCGGGCTGCTGGTGATGTTAGCTGTTGTACTGCTTTTGATGCTGCTGCCACTTGTTGCTGTTGTCGTGTTTGTAACTAGCACGCCAGAGTATTTCATGCCATTCAACTCAAGATTGACAATGAGTTGTTGTTCCCCATTTTCATTGGTTCCTAAGCGTGTGAAAAAATAATAAAAAGTTATTAACTTTGAAAAAGATTAAAGATATTAATGCTACTCACCATTTCTCGTTACTTGAAACTGTAGACCTGACAACAAACTTAGTGTTTCCAGAGCACTAATTTGTTTATTTGATGTGCTGGCGTTAGTTTCACTTAAATTGCTTTGTTGCGTCTTTGTTAGAAGTGCCTTCTTTGTAGTTACCGGTGATAGGTGACCATTTCCCGCCGATGCTGATGTGGATGGTGAATTTTCTATAGCGGAATCATCTGATTTATCAGTTATCACACCGCTGGCATTACTGTTGTGGTGGTGATGATGATGATGATGTCCATTTAGACGCTGACGCTCTTGATCTTCATTCGATGAATTCACAGTCGTATTATGTTCACCTTCCTCATCCAATTCATCCTCGTTCTCAACATCAGAGTCTTGTCGATGTGTGCTGTGGTGAAAATTAGCAGCTGCAGCTGCTGCCGCCATACCGTGTGGCAAATAGAAACTAGCAGGAAAACCAGAAGGCATAATACCACCACGCAACAGATCCTACACAGAAAAATAGAAAAGTTTTATTTAGAATTAAATCATATTTCATTTCACTATGTCATATGAAGAACAAATAATTTGTTAAAGTGAATATTTATATAATCAGAAATAACCCTATAATGGTTAAATTATGGTTGAACACAAATCCAATTTTAGGGATACTTCCATTTGACAATGAATTTCTATAAACACAGTTATTTTGCACAACTCTCTTCATTATGCTATATGTCAATACAGCTTAGTTATCGGATTTTAAAGTGGAAAAAACTTTATCAATTTAAAAATTGCATACTCTGTTTCGCATTATATGTCACGTGTTGTTGTTGTTGTAGCCCGCAGAATTCTATGAAGCATATAGCATCATGAAAGGAGTTACAAATACGTTTACATGGGTTAGGATGTGGATAGGTAGTGGTAGTTTGAGGTAGAGGTGGATTGTTTAGGGGTAAGAATAGATTGTAGACTGGCGAAATTTAAATTAAAGTCAACCAACATCCAGACGGAGAAATTTTTGTAGTAAGGTTTGTTGGGCAAGGAAATAGATGGGGGGGACAACACATGATGGGTAGATCTGTAGTTAGGACACACATTGGGAATAAGCGCATTTGTGTATAATAACTAACTATTAAGCAAATAACTATATTGTGATATCAATGGAGCTAGAATATTTCTTGCCACACTTGAAAAACATCATACTTTCCGGGAGTTATTAAGCGAGGCATATTAAGAATTTTGTTGCAGTACAACCGTGGTCTCAAAGAGAATACTGTATATTGTGGAGACGTTTGTCTTTCCTATATTGTCTAATCAATGTAAACACTTTACGAACTAATCCCGATATCTTGAGAAGTTAGTTACAATATATAGGCATAAAGTAAATTTTAAAAAAACTGTTCAAAATTCTTGACTCTACCAAAATACTTACAAATACAAATATTCGTAATATATTGTATTGCTTTATCGAATTTGCTTTTTGTTTATATTTTGTAATACAAAAAAAAAATAATTTTATATATTTAATATAAAAATTTTTCATTAATGTATGATTTCATTATTTCTTTAACTTTAATTGATTAATAATTTATTGTTTTAATAACCAAAATTTATTTTTTATTATTTTTATTTTTCAACCAGGCTGATTGGTTAATTGTTTAAATAATACTAAACTTTTTATATTTGTAAACTAAATAACACACAACTTTATTTTCACCAATATTACGACTATAATTTATATTTATCGTTTAGATATTTAATTTATTTAAAAAAAAATTTCAAAATTAATTTAAAAATTTGTGTATTATTTGAAAAATTGAATTCTCAGCCAGCAGGTATTAAAAATAAAAACTTTATTTATTAATGAAGTGAAATCAAAATTAATTTTTAATATTAATAAAATAATATTAAAATAAATTTTTTTATCTCATTAATAAATAATTCAAATATATACATATTTTATTATTATTAATTAAATATAAATTTATATAAAATCTCAAACAAAAGTCAGCAATAAATAAGTTTTGCTTTCTTACTCCGCTAACCTATTTTGTCTTATCTATAATAAAGTTTGTTAAAAATAATTACCTTGTCGACACGTTTTGGTGGTGGCGGCTGATGGTGAAATTCTTCACGTTCTTGTGATGGTTCACGTTCACGCTTAATAGAGGTGAGATTCGGTGGTGAGTCTGAAAGGTTTAATGCCTCGCTGCTAGAACGATAAATTGGTTTATGTTCGTGTTAATTAATTTAAGTGGTGAATTAGGGAATAAAAAACTCAAGATATAAAACATTTGTGTAAAAATAATATAAAATAACTAATATAATAATATAAATATAAAATAACTAATATAATAATATAAATATAAAATAAATTTTTATAAAATGATATAAAAAAAAATTTTTATAAAATTATATAAATTATATAAAATAATATTAAATAAATTTATATTAAAGAATATAAAATAAATTTATATACAATTATATTAAATAAATCTATATTAAAGAATATAAAATAAATTTATATAAAATGATATAAAATAAATTTATTCAATATAATATGATATAAATTTATATTAAAAAATATAAAATAAATATATAATTACTTCAAGTAGTGAATTAGAGAATATTAATAAACTCAAGACATAAAATATTTAAATAAAAATAATATAAACTGCCTAATATAATAACATAAAATAATATAAAATAAATTTATATAAGATAATATAAAATAAATTTATATCAAATAATATAATATCAATCCATATATAGAAAATTTCATACAAATACTCTAGAGGTATTGTATATATTTGTATATATTATATGCAACAATGGTCTTAAAACATAAATAAAGTATTTTAATTTTAGAATTACGTACTTCGGCTAAAAAGATTAATGACATTTTTTCAAATTTCTAGTAAATGTTATTGACACTGTATAAAACACTTAAGGATTAACTTAAGTGTAATTGTTAATCTAGCTCTAGAATTTCTCTCGATAGTTTTAAATACAAATGCTCTGTACACACAGCCTTTTTAAATGGTTTATGTATATAATTATTATGATGTGGTGAATTCTGACTATGTGCCTTGAAACAAAACCTTTACGGTCTTAAAATTGCTTAAATTGTACAGCGAAAATTGTCCTATATTATCAGGATACGATATAATTTTATACATAGAAGGTCCTCATTGCAAATTTTCTTCCTTTTATTTTAACTGAATTTTGTTAAATCAACATAAATGTTGCGAAACAAATGAACTTAATGAATTTGTTTCTAATTCTCGGAACAATATGTCAACAAACAATTTGCACACTACACAAAATTAAACACATATAATTTGTATTTTTTTACGAAGCGGTAATATCTGTGACAATCTACACTCTGGTATTTTTTAGTCTTAAGTTTAGGCTGCAATATTACACATACCGAGAAGTGAAGCATGAATGACCATTCAGATCACTGTACGTTTAAAATGAAGAACTGTTTTTCAGCTTTGTTAAAAGGTACAGTCTTGTTGAAACATTCTATTTTTCTCGGCAAAAAGTTTGAAAGCCCATACACCCAATGTGTTCTAACCTTTCAGAAAACTTTTCCGACATTCACATTTACATTGACGTCACGGTTCAAACACATTAACAAGTAGTGACTATCAATCGTCCGAATAGCCCAAATCAATACAAACGATGCCACTCAATAATCTTACTTGTCCCTAATAGTTTCTTGTTCCTAAACAAACCCATCCATTCTCACACGTTATCAACTTTAAATTACATTTTGAGAATTTAAGAAAGTATGGTTTTATCAGTGATTTACTTTGTCTAAATCCTGAGAAGTCTTCCCAGTACTCCAGCCGCATATGATTTTGCCTCTTCTTGATCATTTGTTTTGTACTGGCCCAGTTTAACCCACAAAAGATGATGATATAAGTCTATTGACGAATATAACAACTCTTTCGCTTGTCGAACCCAATTTTTTTTGGAACATCCATTGGCAGCCTGTAATTAGACCTCATTTCTAAATATTTAATGCATGGGTGTTCTCATTATGTTCAAACATTTGTGGTCCCCATTCGAAGCACTTCTACGGGAATTTTTTTTGTTTGACGACAACGTTTTGCAACACTATCAGTTTTGTTATAATATGTAACGGTTTGACATATGAAAGAGGTATATAATATATAAATATATAGAGATATAGAGATATACATATATTATATATATAACGGTAATATTTGTATTTCTGTCAAAATATAGCGCTTTGGGAGATTAAATTCTATTACGTACATATTTTTTTTCCAAAAAACAATAAAATGGAAAGCATAGTAAGCTGTCATTAGATGAAATATGGATGTAGTATTGCCTCATGAACAAATTTATAGCAATTTTAGTTAGAAGGCGCCCTCTATACAATACACTATATATAATAATAAATACATAATAAATACAAATATGTATACATCTATATAAAATATGTATTCGGAAACTCACCGTTGCGGTTCAACGCGTTGTATTTCTGCTGCACCCTGAGGTGAAGCATTGACTGAGGCCGGTGGACTTGTGTTGTTGTGATACATTTGCCAAAGTGCAACACGTGACATTTCCAGAGCATTCAGTGCTTCACGTGTAGTGATTTCGGGACTTTGCGAACGTTGACGTTGTTGTTGTGGCTGTTGATGTGGTGTACCACTACTACTGCCACTACCATTAATGCCGGCATTAGCGCCTAAAGCGCTTTGATCCTTTTTTCCCTGCATCATATTTATATATTCCATCATACGTTTTTCGATTTCATGTGTTACGATATTTGGCATTTGCCCAAATGTGGGCGCCATCAGTCTGTGATGTGCGGCCGCAGCAGCAGCAGCAGCTTGAGCTTGTTGATTAGCAGCAGCCGATGCTGCATGTGTAACCAATGCCAGGGGTGACATTTGTTGCATGCCACCAGATAAAGGACGTGCCATTTGTGGCTGTTTTAGAGAGAAAGAGAAAGAAAAAAAAAAAAGAATTTATAAAGTTGAGATTTTATTATTTTTTTAATATTATATATATTATATATATGTAAGAACTCACCATTTGCATTTGATTGTGCATTGCCTCATATTGTCCATAACTGGAACGACGTCCTTCACGACGATTGCCATCGATTGCGGCTTGCAATTCCGCAGGTGAACTGAGATTTTTCTTTTCACATTCGTATGGATAAAGATATTTCATGTATCTGCAAAAAAAAAATAAAAACAAATATAAACAATGAATAATTTGTTTTGTTTGTATTTAGTTTTTTTTTTTAGATTTTTATTTTATTTTTTATTTTATTTTTGTTAAAGTTAAATTTGCATATCGAAGTTGGAAAAACGGAATATCGAAGAAAAACTACTTCGCCGCTAATAAAACAAGCAAAGTCAATTTGATAATCAGCATTAATAACCAATAACAACAACAAATACAACAACAACAAAATACAACAACAACATTTTGATTGTGTTAATTAAATTAAAAAATGCTAATGGATGCGTTTACACAAACACAAAAAAAGCAACAACAACAAAACATTAAAAGTGCTTGATGCCACAGACACCGAGTGCAGCATCCCAGAGCACAACTCATTCACAGTGTTGCACTCGAAGGAAAGAAGACTTGAGGAGGAGTAAGTGACATGAGGCTCGTTGTCCATCAAGTGATGGCAACGCAAATAAACGCGAGGAACGAAAAATCTACAGGTTGTACGTGTACGTGTACGTGTATGTGTGCGTTCAGGTGATGCTATTTTTCATGTTACTTTACATACCAAACAAACACACAAACACCCATTGATTTCTTAAAAACTGTACATTCATTTAATGAGTATGTATGTATGTATGTATATATGTAAGCATACGAATGTGTGTGGGTATTTATTTTGACTTTGTTGTTTTAAGCAGAAATTTATAAATCAAACATTGAACAGTTTCATTAAATACACAAATTAAACGTTCATAGTTTTATAAATCGATTAACACCAGTCTACATGGTTTTTTCTTTCCATTAAGTAAATATCTTCGTGCATTGTTTTATTATTTATTGAAACATTATATATGGTATAAACACTCCTAACGGGCACTCCTATTAAGCGAACATCCTCTTTAACACGAAATTTTTACTCAATTTGGATATTATTTTTAACACTATTTAGACCAATTTGACCCCTTTTGGCCAAACACTTCGCTTGAGCAAACGCTATTTGGTCTAATATAAAACTTTTTGACCAAATAACTCTCTTAAACGAACACTATTTGAACCAATTTCACTCTTTCGGGCCAAACAGCTCTCGCAAACAAAAACTATTTCGATCAATTTAGTCTTTTTTCCACAAACAGCTCTCTTGAACAAAACTATTTGCATCAATTTAATACTTTTGACTAAATAACTCTCTTAAACGAACACTATTTCAACCAATTTAACTCTTGAACAAACATTATTTCGCCAAATTAAACTCTTTTTCCACAAACAGCTGTCTTGAACAAACACTATTTGGACCCTTTTTGACAACTCACTTTAACGAACATTAACACTTTTTGACCTCCCGACAGACAAAACTCACAATCTATATATCACTCATTCTACATGTGCTTTGTATGGCACAGAAGCATGAATTTTATCGCAGAATAATGAAGAAAATACTCCAAACAGCTATATGGACAGCTAAAAACTCAATTAATTAAAATAATAGGGGTATTCAGGCAACTGAGATTCGTTGCTTAGTTGATTCAAAAACTTCATATAAAAAAATTTAGCATTTTGATGTTAATCAGTTGCTTGAACGACCCAAAATGCGTAATCTGATTAGTTTGTTGTGTGTAAATGCCTTGGCAGCACTCGCATCAACAGCAAAAGCGAAACATACGTTAACAGTGAAAATTGTTTACACACAATTCAAACAGCTGAGAGAGATGGCTAACAAATACCTATACAAAAGTTCATTTTAAGTTATTATTACGACACTTGGGACTGGCAGCACTATTAATCAAATTTGTACTAATCTGAGAATCACCGAAATAGTTGATTCCCTGCTTAGTTTCATTTTTGTGTGCAAATTTTTGTTGTAATCAACTACTAAGCAACGAATCAGTTGCCTGAATACCCCTAATATAAAATGATTTTTTGTTGTTGTTGTTTCTTACTATTCGAAAAAAATCTCTTTATAAAATATACTAGTTTCTATATAAATATAATAGTCAGTTCCGTTCAAAAAATTTGACATTAAATTACAACTTATATTCACAAAATATTGGGTTCGTCCGTGCGAATCGTGGAGTAACGTAAGCATGAGTTTCTCAATATTACGTTCTTAGATTAGGTTCTTTATATAAGAAAGAATATATAAATCGTGCAACAAATAATGCCTCTACAAACAGAATAGTATTGAAATTTAACAATTAAAAATAAAAAAATATGATTAATTAATTTTATTATTATACAGCTGGTTTATGATTATTTTTTTTTTTTTTTTTTTTTTTTTTTATAAATTGTTTTATTATTATATATGATTTTAAAGAACAATAAATAAAACAAAACAAGACATAAAGCAACTAGTTATTAGATAACTAACAAGCAATTTAAATTTAAATAGATTAGGCGATTCCACGCAATAATAAATTAATTGTACTATATTTCAATGATTTAAGCCCAAAGATCGCACGACTTTCGGCGCTTTAGACGGCGTATTGGCTCAGTTGTCGCTAGTAAATGCGCCTCAGCATTTATGTGACAACTAAGTCTATCTTGGTGTGATTTGGCTTTGGTGTGAATTTCTTCCTGTACTGTTGTCACTCCAAGGTCACGATGTAAGTCAGAATTTCTCACGTACCATGGCGCGTTTGTTACACTCCGTAGCATGAAATTTTGGAATCTTTGGATGATGGAAATTTGTGTTCTGCTTGCGCAACCCCATAGCTGTATTCCATATGTCCAGATTGGTATATTTGTTTGTATAATACAAGTTTATTGAAAAGCGATAGTTTTGATTTTTTGCCGATTAACCATTTCAACGATTTGAATTTAAGATCTAATTCACTTCTTTTCTTTTTTATGTGCTCGCTCCATCTTAGTTTAGCGTCCAAAGTCATACCCAAGTATTTCGCAGTATTCGCGTGAGGGATTTGTGCTTCATCGATGTAGACAGGTATATGACTGATGTTTCGATTTGTGAAATTTACATGCACTGATTTTTATGATTATGATTTCGTACTAATATAAACACAGCAAGTGAATTTGTTAATAAAACTTTCACAGCAAATTATCAAAACTCCAGAAAAACATGCGAACAAAAAAGTCAAGTACGGCTTTGTATCAGTTGGTTAAGGAGCGCTGACTCTGAGCTTGAAATTTGGTAGGGCACAAGTTCGACTCCTGGTACTTGCAGTCTCAACAAAAAAAAATTATTATGAATTATAAAACAAGCTTAAGACAAATTGAAATAACAAATACATATATATAAAAGCAACAACTTAAGTTAATTAAGCAGTTAGCTCGTGCCGTGAGAAGGCTGTACTCAAAAAGTTGACTTTAGAATATGACTTTTCTGCTTGAAAACAAAAGCATGTTATTTAACTTTCTTAAAATAACAATTAAATTCGAAACTTCCAGATAAAAACTGCAATTATTTTACTGAATTGCCACTTTTTTTAACTTCACTTAATTATTGTTTATTATTAATTGAAAGAATAAATTATTAAAATATTTGTCTTTCAGCAAGAGCACACGTAAAAATATTGATTTAATAATAAAATTTTTTCTATAATAATAGTTAATAAAAATATTAATAAAGTAGACGTTATTTGTTTTTAATTACATACAACCGTACTCGTATTAAATGGAATTTTATTTAAAAACAATAAAAACAATATATGACTTTTGTTCACCAGTGTAATTAAAGCTGAAATCATATTGGCCATGATTACCGTGATTATTATGATTATCATCATTAGCATCATCATTCCATTTACAGTGATGCATTAAGGGAATACGTTATTTACTATTGATATAAAATTCTTAAAGGCGATACTGAGATACGTTAAACGTTTTCCGTTTCTTCTCTTCCCGACCATAACGTAAGACGATTGTCTGTCAATTGTTTGTACGTTGAACTTGATGTCCGTCTGTCTATCTGTTTGTTTGTCTATCTCTCTGTCTGTCTGTCTGTCTGTCTGTCTGTCTATCTGTTGATCTGTCTCTCTACCAGGTCTGTCTGTTTAGCATATTCGAGGTGCAATGCATGTTTGCATGTTTGCATTTTGTGAGTTTAAAATGATTTCTTCTGATTTCCCGTTTAATATTTACATGAAATATTGTAAATGTTAACCGCTTACAAATTCATGCAACGCTAAAATTCATAAGGCCAGGCCGTTCAGCTTATTTTATAAGAGCCAACTTCAGAAAGGATGCTAACACAAACGAGACGAGACGAGACGAGGCGAATGGAGATGATATTGCCTTGCGAGTGAAGGTGCAGTTTATATGTGCATCTGAGTTTATTTGATTTACATACACTTCAGGCTGAAATGTTAATTGATTTCTGTAGTGTTTATTAATTAAACGGCAAATATATAAATTTTTCCTTATAAATTTCTTTTTTTTTTTAATTTTTTTGCCATAAATATAGTAATATCCTTTAAAATCTTGGACCACATATGAAGAGAGATATAAAATTATAATTTCAAATACATATCATGTCATGCATATGTAAAGAGCACTGATTAATTATCGAGCAAATTTTGACGGGAGAAAACCCTCCGATGATTGTGGGACTTGAGACACCAAAATATATTAAATTAAAAAATAATATTAAAATTATTTTCTACATTTTAATGCGATTAATTCATCTATAATATTTCAAATTTCATCTTCAAAATAATCGCTTTCAATAGAACAGTTGAGATTCATACAGTCAGAAAAAAATGGTCCTACTACACACAGGTTTATTTTACCTGCAAATTTGATTAGAAAAATATTAACTCAAGATATGAAAACCAATATATTTTGACCAGACATTAACTTGAAATCTGGTTAAATCAACTAAATTATTTTTCTGAGTGTACATTCAATCACAATATAAATTTGAACATGGAGTATTTCTAATCAAGAAAGAAATATTATTTTTATCTCATAATATAATATAAATTTTCAACTGAATCAAAATATAAAAAAATAGAGTCCTATAAAAAATCTTGCAACAGAGCT